CTCCACCAACCGAAAAACAAAAGACAAATGCATTGGCTAAAAAACAAACAACAGCCGCAATCATTGAAGAACAAACAACAGCTGCACCGACTCAAGAGGTAAAAACAGCAGAACCTACTGAGGAAGCAACAGCTGCACCAACAGAGAAAGAAATAGCAACTGCGCCAAATGACAAGGAAACAACGGTTACAACAACTGCAGAAGGAAGAACGGTTGCAACAACTGTGGAAACAACCCCTGCACCGACTGAGGAAAAAGCAACACCCACACCCACTGAAAAAGCAACAACGACTGCACTAACAGAGAAAGAAACAACTGCTGCGCCAACTTCGGAAAGATCAACAGCTGCACTAGCTAAGGAAACAACAACAGCTGCACCTGCTGAAGAGGAACCAACTGGGAAACAAACAACAGCTGCCCCAACTAAGGAAGAAACAACCACTGCACCAACTGAAGAAGGAACAACGGCTTTACCAACTGAAAAAGCGACAACAGCTGTACCAACTGAGAAAGAAACAACAGCTGCACCAACTGAGGAAGTAACAACAGCTGCAACAACTAAGGAGGACACAACATCCTTGCCAATCGAGGAAATAACAGCTGCACGAACTAAGAAAGAAACAACCGCTTCGCCAACTAAGGAAGAAACAACACCTACACTAACTGAAGAAGTAACGACATCTCCACCCACTGAGGAATTAACAACTGCAGCACCAACTAAAGAGGAGTCAACGGCGGGACCAACTGAAAAAAAAACCACAGTTGCACAAAGTGAGGATCGAGCAACGGCTTCGCCAACTGAGGATGAAAAAACAGTTGCACCAACTAAGGAACAAACCGCTGCACCAACACAGGAAGAAACACATCCTGAACCTTCTGTGGAAGCAACAACAGCTGCACCAACTAAAGAAGATACAACGGCCGCGTCAACCGAACACGAGACGACAGTTGCACCAGCTAATGAAGAAACAACAGCTGCACCAACTAAGGAAGAAAAAACAGTTCCTCCAACTAAAAAAGAAACAACAGTCGCACCAATTGTCAAAGAAACAGTTGCACCAACTGGGGCCGAGACAACGGCTACACCAACTGTGACCGAAACTGTGGCCAAAACAACAGCTGCGCCAACTGAGGCGGAAACAACAACTGCAGCAACTGAAGGGGCAACAACAGCTGAACCAGCTAGTGAACAAACAACCGCTGTACCATCTGAGGCCCAAACAACAGCTTCCCCCACTGAGCAAGAAATAACAGTTGCACCAACTAAAGAAGCAACAACAGCTGCACCAACTGATAAGGAAACAACAGCTGCACCAACTAATGAAGAAGCAACAGCTGCACCAACTAAGGCCGAAACAACAGCTGCACCAACTGAG